AAACCTGCTCTAAGTGTTGTACCTAGTACCAAGTCATATTTGTTAATCACCTAGCAATTGTACTTAGTGCTTTTACAGTTGTTAAAAAATCAATTGCGTTTTTTTTTGCTTTTTTTTATTACTTCTTTTTGCATTTTTATTAAAAAAATATTAATACATTAGATTAAATGTTTTTTATACTAATACAAACAAACTAAGCTACTTGTGTTAACTTCCGGCCACTTTCCGTTGTAGGTATTAACTTCTTCCGTTGAAAGTATAACTTGATAATGTACCCAATACATGTTGTTTCTAAATTTTTATTTCATGGTTAATTTGACCGATTTTCTTTGGTAAATAAGTGTTGGTTACTGTGTTTCTTACATTTTACAAAACAGAAAACATTTAAATTTAAAAGTTTGTCCAACGCACCAAACTTTTTCTTGACCTAACAGTTAAATTCCATGGTAAAATGTGGACGCCATCTGTGGTTACTGCGTTGTCCATTCAGAGCCTCAAGCAAATGAAGCAGCAATGAACATGGAGCTAAGATGAGAAACCTTTTTATAGACATTTGGCTTCAATTTCTTCAAGAGTGAGACCCTTTGTCTCGGGCACGATGAAGTATATGAAAAAGAGAGACAGTACACATATCACTCCAAATTCGCAGAACAATACACCAGCTCCTAACAGCTCCTGCAGATAAACACTAGGTGAGCTACAACCAACAAAATATATGTATGCGTACACAGTTAAATCCACAGGAACACACTCAAACCGAATTAATGGATTACTATTTACTAATCAGGCTTTCTTGTGTTTATGTAGTGCATGATCACAGTAATAATTAGCATAATGGATTGTGTGTAAGAGATTGTAGCTAAGAAACAATGTTTGAGTTGGGAGCTATTAGGAACCTCTAGTTAAACATGTTCTTTGAGAGTTATACTAAGTTCTATTGAAGAATATATTATAGGGAATGAGTTTCTTGGTTCTGGAATCTTTACCTTCAGAGGTGAGAAAGCGAAAGTCACAAGAGCGTTTGTGCCGAAATTCACAAGCACTGCTATGCTGATTCCTCTGCCTCTTAGTTTTAAGGGAAATATCTCTGACATCATCAGCCAACTAATAGGGCCAAAGGATAACTGCAACATTGATGGCAAATCTTTTGAGATCACAACTTAATGTTGCCAAGAATGGAGCCTTAATTAGAAAAATCTGTAAGAAAGGTTAACCTGATAGCAGCCCACATAGAGTAGCAATGCAGCAACAGCAACAGCTGGTAAATTATTATAAAAGATGTAGTATGACCCTAGGAGAAACAATGAGATCGCCTGTTACACAATTTTAAAATACAAAAGAGGCTAAGTATCTGAATCATCTATTTTTTTTTTTATTTCTCATAAAATTTATAATAGACAGGAAAAAGAGAAAAGACTGAAGAAGTCAGAGGACAAACCATGCCACTAACACCACCAAGAAGTAAGGGTCTCCTTCCAAGCTTGTCAATCACTGCAATAGCAACTCCAGTCATAACCAACTGTACCAGTAAAGGACCACGTTAAGTTAGTTAACAATGATAAAACGGTTTAAAATGTGCCAAAAATCATTCATATACTTATAATTACTTACATGAGATTGTACAAGAAAGCATATCAATCCTCTAATAATTCAAACTAGATGGAAGAAAACGAATACCTTCAATAGACCAATCAAAATTGAGATCCGAGTTGCATCAGTTGCAGCAGAGAAGCCAGCAGTCTAACATGTAATGTATAGTGGTGCAAGGAAACAAGTTAGGGTTCCTTCCTAGTGAAACAAAAGCCAACTTTACTAGAGATAAAAAAGAGAACCTGTAGTATTGATGGTGCATAATAAAGTACACTTGGTTGTCCAGTTATCTGCCATTTGAAAAGAATAAACAATATATCTTTAGCTATTGTTCTTTCTGCCAAGGACATTTGATCAATTAAATGCACCAACCTGTTGGAACAAGACTAAACCTCCTGCTATAGTGAGAGCTTTCAAGCATTTGCCTTGAAATAACTCACCAATTGTAGCTTCTTTGTCTTCACCCACAGAGGAAAGTTCAGCCAAAATCTCGTCTATTTGTTCAGCTGCTGAGTCAACTGCAACAGACCCTCTAAGGCGGCGAAGAGACTTGATTGCAGCCTGTTTAAGGCTCTCCACATCCCCTTTTCCCTGACGAGAGCGCAGTAAAAGCCACCTAGGGGATGCTGGTAGCCAACACATCCCAATTCCCATAATAACTGGTATAGGAATAATTGTTGCATACATGTAACGCCATCCAGAAATAACTGTAATCCAGAGGCTACCGATTCCATATCCTCCCTTCATAAAAATTACATGTGTCAGTTTAGCTTGGTGGACAAACATTGTTTTAAAATAGAAAAAAAAAACTGAGAAATAAAATTTCTGAAAGTCCACAGAGATGTGAGAACTTACCACCATCCCAAAGACGGTGGAGAATTCCTTTAGTGATATCATACGTCCACGTATCTGACTAGGTGCAGTCTCAGCAATGTACATTGGAGCCGCATGCATTGTCTAAACATATAGAAACATATAAGATTTCAAGTTAAGAAACATGCTAAAAATAGTAATCCAAAGCATCTTACCCTGAAGGGTAAACATATATATCTGGAAGATCACCTGAGCATACACAAGTTTTTAGCAGGCAAACACTAAAAAATCCATGATCAATCTTACCAGTCCAAGCCCGATGCCATACACAACCCGTCCAATTATCAGGACATGAAAGACAGGTGCTATTGCAGTCACAATGGCTCCAATAAGATACAAGAATGCAGCTATAACCAGCTCTTTTCTTCTTCCTTAAAATCAATCCACAACAATTCAGTTTCTTTCAGATGGTGACAAAGATTTTAAAAAAAAATGTCGAAAGAAACAAACCTATAATATCAGCAATATTAAATGCCACAACGGATCCAATTAAAGCACCGTAGTGTGAGCTACTAGTCTGCACAAAATTGTAAGCAAAATTATTTTTCTTTCCCACAAGAAAGATCAGAGATCCTAATACGTAGAACAAGCAAGAAGGGTGAAATGTACACTCACAATGATACCAACATCCACTGAAGACAAGTTGTACCATGAAATTCCGCTTAGGGTAGGCGACTGTACAGAAGGCCAAAGAAAAGCAGAGTAATTAACAAAACTGTGAGCGTTTAAAGGGAACCACAATGGCACAGCACGTGCAGGTTCTTAGCTACGGCTCGGTTCTTAATTAGATTTTAACTAAGAAAAGTTAAGAACCGTCTCTTAAATAAGAAATATAAGAGTCGTAAAAGTGTAAAAAAAAAAGTGTCAAATCCTGAGTATAGAATCCCGGCTAAGAGACCGGGGTTAATCATGCCCAAATACCTTTAACAGCTATACACACTGTTTTTATAAGACAAGGTTAAGCCATTACCTTAATAGAAATGATTGCACAAGACGTTGCACCAATCTCATAGCCAAAAAGAAACGTTCCAAGAGCTGGGAAGATAAACCTGAAATAAATTACTTGTTTAGTAAGCTTTAAGACAAATCTACATCATGTGCAAACCCAACACGGCATGGTAATAAACGGTGAATTAACAATCTTTGTTGGACCACAGTTGGTATTATTGAAAACGACAGATGCAAAAAAAAAAAACAAAAAAAAACTCACGGGGGAATGGCTGAAAGAACAGAGTAATTTTCTGAGGTATGCTTCTGTTTTATGAGAGGTTCTTCTACTGAACTCATCCCACCTGAAGATGGATCACCAACCTACACAGGAACACTATTTCAGACACAGGACTGATAATATGGTTTAGGTTCAATCTCATGCTTAATCTTCAAATTATTCTTTAATGCAGAAGAAGAAACTCAAACCTAACCTCTACATTGCATTCATAAGCCCTTAATTTGAGCGGAAATAACCAAACAAACAATGACGGTCAAAACCTTGTTTGTTCCTTTTTTATTTGCGGGAATAACATCTCTTAACGTGATTGATTTAAATGATTAGTCTAAAAAAAGAATCAAATAAAGAAACAAAAGTCAAGAACAAGAAGATGTGTAAAAGAAGAAGCGTGTAACCTGTCCAACAGAAACGATCGATTGCTTCTCGGCATCGAGCACCATGGCTACTGCAGCTTGTTCTCGGTGATTTGCTCAAACGGGGTACAGAGACTCAAGATTATGTTTGAAATAATGGACTTTTGTCTGAAGTTTGAGCTCAACGTGCGTCGAATTCGAAGAGGAGAGAGATGTGGAGGAAGGGAGAGGGAAGGAAAATATCAAACGTGATCATTTCAAATTAGGAAGGAGTAACTCATTCTTGTTTTTTCATCTCCTTTGGTCAACCAAATTAGTTTCCTATTAAAGGTGCTTTCTCTACTGATAATATTATTATTTGGACAATCAAACAATTATTATTTTTATGAAACTTGCTTTATCTGCTACTAATAACAAAAAGATATATGTATTATTTTGTAAAGTCAAGTGGGCAATCAAAATTAGTTTTCTATTAACCTTGCTGTATGTGCTATTTATAAAAATATATTCTCCTGTAAAGCCAGCTAGAAATGTGAAACAGTATGTTTTAATCTCTTGATACAGAGCTTCAACATGGGTTTAACTTGTAGTATGAAAAAAAACCCTTTTAATATTTGCAATGGATGTCTAGATCCTTGTTCAGCAAGTTACTTGTGAAATCAAATAATACTTCTCCCTCGTACGGCCGACGTTGATATTCATTTTCTTCTTTGTAATTTACTTATCTTGCCTTCATTTAATTTTGCTTTTCCTTATTTTTTTTAATGTTTTTAACTGAATATTTTCTTATTTCTCCTTTAAAATGAGGGATTATTAGAGATGATTTTATTAGATACTTATGTCGCATACAAAAATTTCATTTCTTAATCAACATAATTATGTATTACAAATTTTATAATTTTATAGTCTTATATAATAATTAGAATAAATTATTTGCTTGTTATGGATGGTTCATTAACTATGTTCACCAAATAGTCCAGTAGTGCTAACCATAAGCCTACTGAAATAAGAAAATAACAGAATATCCTAGGGCTGGATAGACAAATCGAACCTGAAAATCTGAACCGATAAAGATAAATCCTAACCGATCTAAACCTGATATAAATACCGAATAAATCTTGTTTTACGGTATTTTGGGTTATGAATTTACCCGAACCGAATCCGAAAGTAAATGAATATCCAAAAAAATCTGAAACTTCAAAATTCCAAAAAATATTATACCATATACAATCTTAATTTATAATATGTATCCAAAATACAGTAAGATATTATTGATTATCTACAATAATTAGTTATTACATGAATAAATAACTCAATTCTTAATTTAATATATATTTTTATTTGGTTAATATTAGTGTTTTATGTTTGACATTGCATTTTGAAGTTTAGTTATGAATAAATTATTTTAAAATTTATACATTGCTGTTATTTTTAAGTTTAAATAGTATTTTTTTACGTTTATAGAATAATTAATTGTTAATTTTAATATTTTATTATTTCATTATGTGTGATTTAAGTTTATATCAAGTTGATGTACACATGATATAAAAACAATTGGATAATTTTTTTTGTATATTATGGCACTGAGAGTCTAAGACATAGAAAAACAATTGGATAATTTTTTTGGTGAATGTATATTATGGCACTGAGAGTCTAAGACATAGAAAAACAATTGGATAATTTTTTTTGTACTTTAATACATTATTAAATATTTTTAGAGTACAACCAAGTACAAATTAATGTTTTGAAATCAAAACCGGATTAAGATCTGAAACACGAAATTATATCAGGTTCAATTGGTTGTTCGACATGTTACAAAATCCGAACGGAATCCGATTAAATTCAAACCAAATCCAAACCGAATTTTTTTAATATCCGAATGAGACTGATTTTCGTAAACGCGAAAATCCAAAACCCGATTAGACCCTAACCAAAACCCAACTGAGACCCGAATGTCGAGCCTTAGAATATCAATATCCTCACATTTCCCTCAATGCAAGAGTATAATTGTTTTTTCAGATTGAAAAAGCTGATGGTTTTATGAAACATAATTTATTTCTCAGTACCTGACTGTTAAATATCGGATTAATTAATTTTCCGATGATCATGTTTCAAACTAAAAATTTTAGTTATTGATACATGGTCCAAATCGAAAGATTAATTCCAAAGGGTGAGGTGTTTCTTACATTCTACAAAACATATTAAGAAATATTCGAATTTTAAAAGTTGTCCGACGCTCCAAACGTTTGCCACGAACTTTCACTGCCACCAGTTCTTTTGGACCAAACAGTGAACCTCCATGATAAATGGCGTCGACACCTGTGGTTACTGCTTTGCCATATTCAGAGCCTCAAGCAATGAAGCAGCAAGTACAAATGGAGCTAAGATGAGAAACCTTTTAGAGGCATTTGGCTTCAATCTCTTCAAGAGTGAGACCCTTTGTCTCGGGCACAATGAAGTATATGAAGAAGAGAGACAGTACACATATCGCCCCAAATCCACAGAACAGAATTCCAGCTCCTAACAACTCCTGCAGATAAATACCAGGTGAGCTACAATACAATGAGTAATCACTATTTGAACCATGTTCGTCCAGAATTATAAGTAAATTATATTGAAGGAATATATATTATGAGGAGTTTCTTGGTTCTAAAACATTTACCTTCAGAGGTGAGAAAGCAAATGTCACAAGCGCGTTTGTACCGAAATTCACGAGCACTGCTATGCTGATTCCTCGACCTCTTAGTTTTAAGGGAAATATCTCTGACATCATCAGCCAACTTATAGGGCCAAAGGATAACTGCAAGATTGATGGTACATCTTTTGAGATCAACAACTTAACATTGCCAAGAATAAAGTTTGATGAGAACAAAATATTTAACCTGATAGCAGCCCACATAGAGTAGCAATGCAGCCACAGCAACGGCTGGTACATTATCATAAAAGATGTAGTAGGACCCCAATAGGAACAATGAGATCACCTTTTACAAAATTAAAAATACAAAACAGGCTATAATCATATAGTTTTTTTTTGTCTAATAAAATCTAATAGACAGTAAAAAAAGAGACTAAAGAGATCAGAGGACAAACCATGCCACTAACACCACCAAGAAGTAAGGGTCTCCTTCCAAGTTTGTCAATCACTACAATAGCAACTCCGGTCATAACCAACTGCAACAGTAAAATAACACTTCAAGTCTTCAAAAAATAAAATACAAAATAGCTTCGCTGCAGAAAATATTAATTCACAATGTGCTACTATTGGTACATGACATTGTACTAAAAAGTATATCAATCCTCCAATATATCATAGCTAAAAAGATTGGATATGTCAAAGTAAATGGAAGAAAAGGAATACCTTCAATAAACCGAGCAGAATTGAGATCCGAGTTGCATCAGTTGCAGCAGTGAAGCCAGCAGTCTAATATGTAATGTAAGTGGTACAAGGAAACAAGTTAGGGTTCCCTCCTAGTGAAACAAAAGCCAACTTTACTAGAGATGAAATAAGAACCTGTAGTATAGATGGTGCATAATAAAGAACACTTGGTTGCCCAGTTATCTGCCATTTGAAAAATAAACAATATATATACTTAGTCATTGTTCTTTTGTCACAAGAACATTTAATGAACTGACTGCACCAACCTGTTGGAACAAGACTAAACCTCCTGCTATAGTGAGAGCTTTCAAGCATTTGCCTTGAAACAGTTCACCAATTGTAGCTTCTTTATCCTCACCCACAGAGGAAAGATCAGCCAAGATCTCGTCTACTTGTTCAGCGGCTGAGTCAACTGCAACAGACCCCCTAAGGCGGCGAAGAGACTTGATTGCAGCCTGTTGAAGGCTCTCTGCATCTCCTTTTCCCTGAAGAGAGCGCAGTAAAAGCCACCTAGGAGATGCTGGTAGCCAACACATTCCAATTCCCATAATAATTGGCACAGGGATAACTGTTGCGTACATGTAACGCCAACCAGATATAACCGTAACCCAGAGGCTACCGATTCCATATCCTCCCTTCACAGAAAAAAAATATAGAAGTGATTCTGTAAATCCAAGCTGAGAAATAATATTGTCTGAAGTTGGCAGAGGTTTGAGAACTTACAACCATCCCAAAGACGGTGGAGAATTCCTTTAGTGATATCATACGTCCACGTATCTGACTAGGTGCAGTCTCAGCAATGTACATTGGAGCCGCATGCATTGTCTAAACATATAAGCTTTCAAGTTAAGAAAAATGCTAAAAATAGTGATCCAAAGCTGCATTGACCAATACATGATAGGTCCATGATCAATCTTACCAGGCCAACTCCAATGCCATACACAACCCGTCCAATTATCAGGACAGGAAAGACAGGTGCTAGTGCAGTAACAATGGCTCCAACAAGATATAAGAATGCAGCAGTAATCAGCCCTTTTCTTCTTCCTTGAAAACATCAATCCAACAAATCGATTTCATTCAGATGGAGACGCTTATATGTAACAATATAAATAAAAAACTCGAAAGAAACCAACCTATAATATCAGCAATACTAAATGCGATAACGGATCCAATCAAGGCACCGTACAGTGAGCCACTAGTCTGCACAACATTTGAAAAATATTGTTAGCAAATTTGTTACCTATCCACAAGAAAGGTGAAACAATAAAAAAAACTGATGCAATAACCAAGAAAGGTAAATATAAACTCACAATGATACCAACATCCACTGAAGACAAGTTGTACCATGAGATTCCACTTAGCGTAGGTGACTGTAGATAAGACAAAAAAAAAAAACAGAGTGATTAAAACTTAAAAGAGTTGTGAAAGTCTGAAAGGAGCACAATGGCATTGCAGGTGTAAGCTTGAAAACAGCAGCTAAAGGCTATGCACATTTTTAGACAAGGGTTTAGCCATTACCTTAATAGAAATGGTTGCACAAGAAGTGGCACCAATCTCATAACCAAAAAGAAACGCTCCAAGAGCTGGGAAGATAAACCTGAAATAAAATGACTTGTTTAGTAAGCTTTAAGACAAATCTACATCATGTGTAAACCCTACAGATTTCTTCCTCATGTGCTTTTTTTTTTGTTTTTAGCAGAAAACATTTGTAATAAACTGTTGATAGCAATCTTTGTGGGGCCACATTTGGTATTAATAACAACCAAAACACAAGAAAAAGACAGAACTCACGGTGGAATAGCAGCAAGAACAGAGTAGTTCTCTGGGCTGTGCTTCTGCTTTATCAGAGGCTCTTGTACTGACCCACCTGAAGACGATTCATTAACCTATACGAAAACCCCAATCTCAGATAATATGTTTATTCCAAATCCATATGGCTAAGGTTTAATCTCATGCTTAATATTTGAATCCATATATTTACAAAGAAATTCAAATTAATTCTCCAATGCAGAAGAGAAAATCCAAACCCTAACCCTATATTGCATTCATAAGTCTATAATTTAACCAAGAAGAATCAAAAACAAACAATGACGGTCAAGAACTCGCATGTTCTTTCTTAGTTAGCTTAAGATCTTGTGTGATTGATAATTGATTAGTCAAAAAAAAAGAATCAAATAAACAAATAAACCTTATTACACATTTTTTATCAGAATATAAAAAAAAAAGACGATGTGTAAAAAGATAACCTGTGCAACATGAACGATCGATTCTTTCTCGGAATCAGATACCATGGCTGCGGCAGCTTGATATGGATCCCGAGATTCGTGAGTGTGGTTTGTTCAAGGAGACAGAGATTAAAAGATCTTCGGTCTCTATGTTTGAAATAATGGACTTGTCTGAATTTGGAGCTCAACGTGCGTTGAAATCGCAGAGGAGAGATTTGTGGAGGAAGAGAGAGGGAAAGACAAAATATATGCCAGGGTGATCGTAACTGTCAATTAACGAGCATTTCAAATTAGGAAAGATGATTTTTTTTTTCTTTTTTTCATTTCTTTTGGTCAGCCAATTTATTTGTTTCCTATTAAACATGATTTTATCTACTAATAATTAAATAAATATTATTTGGGGATTTAAATTAACTTTTTTATTAAACTTTTCTCGGTAGATAATACAAACATATAATTATATGGTTTTGTAAAGACAATTGGACTATCAGCCAATTAAATTAATTTTCTATTAAACTTGCTCCATGTGCTGATGATAAAAAAATTACATGGTCTTGTAAAGACAGCAATGTGAAAAGTATATTTTAATCTCTTGATGAAGAAAGATATTTTTCTTTGTTTTGAAACAGGAATTCTATAATTGGATTAGGTGTGAGGAAACCCTTTAGTCTTTGCAATCGACTTCTAGATCCTTGTTCATCACGTTACTTGCAAATCAAATAATACTTCAATATCTTTCACCAGATCTTGTAGGTCGTTTCATAAAACTAGATTTGACTAAACTACTTTACAAAATCATAGTCAATTATCATGTACTCTCCTCTCCAGAGGTTAATGAAGCTTATGTTAGCTATATGAGATGAAATACCACCCAATTGTATATGTACTCTCTTCAACATTTTTTTATCTTTCAAGGGAGAAGTTGACCACATTTCTATAGGCATATTACATGCTAGACTGGGATGATGATCTTTTGAGAGGGCCATATTGGTAAGAAAAAGCAATGGGAGGGAAAAACTCGAAGGTTAAGTGTATTAACATAGCTCAAATACAATATCAGAAGGTCAACACGAAGCCCATTATCAATCAGCAACAGGACAAACAAAGAGTTACCGTCAGTGAAAAAACAGAGTACAAGGTTGTTGTGTGATACATCCTCTACAGCTAGGAAACTGATACTCGCTCTTATCCGTTGCCACCTGAATATGTCACAGCTGGATAGGATCTAGATCTTTCCTCTTTCTCTTTATATGTAAAACATTGTAGCATGAGAACGTCAAGCAATAAACTCATAAGCTAAAGATATACACTTTGTTCTGTCTTTTCTCTGACAGTAACTCTTGTTTGTCTTGTTGTTGATTGATAATGGGCTTCGTGTTGACCTTCTGATAGTGTATTTGGGCAATGTTAATACAGGGTCTCATTGCTTCTCGTCGACATTTTAGAAGCTGTCAGATAGGACATGTCCTAATTGTCTCCCTTATGAGTAAATTAAATGGTCTTAGCAAATGGTTCCTCTGAGTCATATTTTCAGACAACTGACTACTTTGGTAATGAAACAACTTACCATGATAAACCCTTTCTACTTCCGTCAGTAGTTTCCAGGTTCCACGGCTGCATCCAATATCATCATTACTTGATGCTGATGGCTGATGCTGAGGATCATTCTTCCAGCAGATCAGGGACGAAAACCGTTGTTTAAAAAAAAACTTGGTTCGGGAAACTTTAGTAATGATGATAACTCGGTGAGGAGAAGCAATCTAATGCCCATTCCACAACCACCTGGAGAGTCATAGAGCAGCAGCAAAAGAAGTTGCCGAAGTAAACGCAACCACTAGTCAAAAGACAAAGGCAGGCTTGATAAACCGGTTTAGTTATTTACTTATTCGTGTTTTCCATAACCGGTTTGGTTTCATCTCATGAATGATTACCAAAACCTAGGAAATAGATTTTGGTTCTGGTTTGATTTAGTTTTGTCTACTTGGAAACAACATTACACATCAGAAAGTACAACAAAAACGGAAGGAGATAAGAGAGGGACTTAAACATGGTGAGTCTTGTCCGAGTCCTCGAGACTTGTTGGACGAAACCAAGCAGTCTCCTCTAGCACCGCCGAGTCTTGGCGAGGAGCCTCCCCTGCGGGGCTGTGCTCAGTCGTGGAAGGACCAAAGACTCCGGTTTTAGGATGAGGAGACCAATATTTATCAGAATCAGGCTTTATGACATCATCAGGAACTGCACTTGCCTGCAGTTCATCTTCCACGTTCTTGTCATACCCCGAGGAATAACTCCTGTTACAATAAAAGTTTATATTTATATTAAGGAATTTTATTTGATTAAAATAAACGTATAATATTTAAACAACTTTATATCGAAATTAGTCTTACCACAACTTGGATATATAAATAAAAATAGGTGTTGTGCCCGCCTTGCGGGCATAATCTTCTTACGGATATAACTGTACATAATAAATTATTATTTATGTTTTCTCAAAAAAAAAATATTATTTATGTTCTCAAAAAGTTTAAATAAAATTATCTATATACGCTATTTTTTAATCAAAATATATATTATGCCCACATATTTTGGGTTGAAATTTGAATTAAAAACTCACATATTAGAAATATTTGAGAAAATATCATTATACAAATGTAATTGATTAATTAATATTTAATTTTAAATTTTATTAAATTTATATTTATTTTTGTAATAAAAGAATATTATTTTCAGATAACAACAAAATATCTATAAAACTTATCTTATTTTTGTAATATGCATTTTTTTTACAATTATCATATTAATTTTTAATCAATTTTTTAATTTTTATAATAGAAAAATATTATTTCAAGATAACAACACCATATCTATAAGAAGGGCCTATAAGAATTATCTTATTTTTGTAATTTGTATTTATTTTGACAATTATCATATTGATTTATAATCAATAATCTAATATAACATATAAATCTAATATTATTATTATAAATTCGTTTTTAATTATATATAAAATTTATTAAGGGTATAATTGATATTAACCACTCTAACTTTTAACGTGGAAGCTCCATTGCGAAAAATCACTTCGCAAATAATAGTATAGATATTTAATTTTTAATTTTATTAAATTTATATTTATTTTTGTAATAAAAGAATATTATTTTCAGATAACAAAAAAATATCTATAAAACTTATCTTATTTTTGTAATATGCATTTATTTTTACAATCCCCTATATATTAATTGAGAAACATTTGTAAAGATGTAACCTCAATTTTGTATTAATTAAAAGAGGTCCCAATGCATAGGTGTCATTCAATTAGGTAGTCAATTAGATTCAATTGAAAAATAAGGAAGTCCACATTGGATTTTTATAGGTTGCTAGATACATTAATTAGTCAAACTATATGATATAATGATATGATATGTTATTTTCTTTCCATAAATAAAACCTACGAAATTACCATAAATGACTAATATATATATATATGACACTTAATGATTTTTCCCTAAGATATAATTACTATATTATTTCCATAAATAAAACCTACGGAATTACCATAAATGACTAATATATATATATGACACTTAATGATTCTAATAATAAATATTTGATAACAATTTATATATCCTCCATCATTTTTCTTTAATTTTATATTATTAAAATAAATTAAA